AAAAAAAATTTCATCAATTACAGTATTTCAATCGGTGATTTGAAGTTATTCGAATGAGATTAAATTTCGATAAACATTTCAAAATAAAAATGAGTGATAGAAATTTTACACAACGTTTCAATGTCGTCATGACATCATTATCAAGTGACAAGAACACCTCTCACCGCATATATAACACTGTTGAACCATTATTTTCTTGTCACTTGATAATGATGTCATGATGACATCAAAACATTGCGTAAAATTTCTATCACTCATTTTTATTTTGATTTGAAGTTACACACAAAATTTTCAAAGAACCCTCACTTGCCTGTCTGGCAAGAGAACAACAGAATCCACTAGCCCAAGTACAAAACCTACTAGCCCTTGAGGCTATCAGTCATGAATTTCTTGTGCGCTCTACTAGCAGAGGTTCTTTGGTGTACATGCAATTTTTAATTCAATGCTCTCATGTTTCATTATGTAGATTAGTAAGTGTGATTTCTCTTATTATTCAAAGGGTGTTGTGGGAAGGTAAAAGACCTGGAACTAAAGATGCCATTCTTTTCTTTGGATTTGATGAGGTTTGTTGTAGAAAATCATCATGCTTTTCATTTGGACATGATCACATAATTTGAACTTCACTTTTGCTGAACTCTGGAACTTCTGTCCTGGTTATTATCATAGTTACTATAGTGAGTCATTACAATTTGTCTTTGTTTTAGTCACAATAGAAATGCATTTATCTAGACCTCACATTTGCTTGTAAATTTTTTTTCCAGTCATACTCAATTCGAAATCTAGCCTCTGTACTCATTGATAGGTATGTTGCTGTAAATTGCATAAGCCAGTAGTTCTGTAATTTTGTCAGCTTGTGATTTTTTGCTTGTAATACTGTATGTAACTTACTTACCTACATGTGCTGGTCAACCTATTGCCAGAATGATTACAGCTCCAGCTGCAGACAATCATGGAATTTAAAGATTAAAGATTAATATCCATATGTATTGACTGGGAATGGAGGTGTACATAGCATGCACTTCAATTCAACCTGCCCTAGAATTGCTAAGGATACATCTTTGATGAAAAGTCTAGAAAATCTCTTTTACAATGTGATACCTGGTCGGTGTCACTGAATTGATTTCTTGAACAAGACAATTCAAGTTCGCAGTGCCATGTTTATATTAATGATGGGAAAAACCTTATGATGGGCTAGCATCTGCCATCCAGAGAGCAGTAGAAATACTCCCAGTCACTTATACTATGGAAAGGGGAGTAAGCTCAGGCAAGATGGGACACTTTCTGGCCTGATGTAGACTTGGCTTTTTTATGATGATGGTAGATTGACAACTTGAGAAGAAAATAGCTAGGCCATGGCCATGCCTAAGGAGGGTTAGATAAATGCATTCCTCAATAGGTTTGTGTTCTAAGACTTTCAGTATCTCATTCAAATATCTGTTACATAAATGTTGTTAAATTATTCCAGGTATGCTGGCAAAGACTTTTGTGTGTGGTATGATTCTCTTCGTCCTACCCACCCAACCATCCACGAGGAAATCTCCAAGGTTCTGTTCCACACTGCCAAGTTTAGTTATAAAAGTAAGTGCAACTTAGAAACTAAATCCTTTTTCTCAATTTATTTGCGATTTGATTTTTTGGGGTGAAAAATGTATAGTCAGGTTTATGTAGTAATTATGTATCTTAAGTTTATCTTTGAGGCCCCTCTGCTATCTCCTTTTATAACCACAAGGCATTTAACGTTCATGTCAGCTGCAGTAAAAAGGGGGCCCAATAGATAAATTTTCACTCAGGTGGCCAGCAACCATGAAAAATTATGGGAACAACAGGATGTGTGTACATAAGAAAAGAGTGCAACTGCCCCAGGATTGGTTTGGAACAACAACATGGCTGCTGCTTCGTTGTTTTTGGACACCAATATGGCTGCTGTGACATCATGTGAAATGAGATCTAGTTTCATGAGCATGTAATGCATGCTGAGACCAAGGCAGATGTGGACCTCTGCATGCCTACAAGACTGTTATGCAAACAAGTAACTTGAATTAAATACATTTCTTTTCAGATTTACTGGTTCTTGGTCACAACATTCACATGCTTAGACTTATAAAATCTGATGCAGAAATTAAACTACTAAGAGAATCAGCTTCATTAGCATCAAGAGCTATTACTAAGGTAAGAGGTAGTTTTCTGTCATTTTTTTTATTTTATATATGTGAAATATCAGGTTCTTGGGGTCTGTTTAAGCTTTAATGTTTCTTACATGAGTTTCATGGTACCCTCTGGTTTTGCAGAGACATTAGTGTAACTTAATCTGTAAAAATAATTTGTCTATCCACTACCTAAATACATTTAGTTGAGTAACTGCCAACCTGAAAGTTGTAAGAATCCTTTCTGCACAGTTGAACCTCTCCTTACAGACACCTCTATCATATGGACACCTCTATATGACAAACAGTTCACTTGGTCCCAGAAAACCAAAATTCATCTCATACGTACAGAAACCTCCATAATAAGTGATTAAAGATATTAGTTGCTAAAGAGACTATTCGGCTGCATTGGAGAGCAAGTGAAACACATTTAGAGCATTAGACTTGTTTTGGACAAAGATGCCGAAGGGCTTGAGCTCGATAATCAGCTTCACTTAGATGCCATGGTTGTTAACTTTCCTTTATCAACTGAACTTCAAGTTGAAAAATAGCTAAGTCCCCCATAATAGAGACACTCTGCTCATATTAAAGAGGAGCAGCTGTAGCTGTTTTACCTAACAATGAACGTTTTATGTTGTTGAGGTTATGAGAAGCACTCGTCCAGGGCTGGAGGAGTCTCATCTTCATACGATCTTGGAATATGAATGTCGAATGGGAGGTGCTGAGAGGCTGGCATACCCCCCTGTGGTAGCTAGTGGACCAATGGCGAACACACTTCACTACATTAACAATACGCAAGTTCTGAGGTAATTTTTTCTTAAAAATAGACAGGGCAATTCCTTTATTTAATCTCTCTCTCTACTCATTGTGTGCCGATGACAGAAGTCTTAGGTATCTTTAAGGTAGCCCATTACATAAGCCCTATTGGCTTGCCTCTTGGCAAGGAGATGGACGTGGCCTAGCCACGTCCTTAGAAGGGATCATCATTTACATTCTTGAATCGCTCTCACATGGGCACCAGAGGGCAGAATGAATTGGGGTCGACCGCCAGAGACATGGAGGAGAACAGTGGAAAGAGAGCTTAAAGAGAATTACTATTAGAATACAGCAGTGTAATAGTTTTTTTAAATTTAAACATGGGATTGAGAAATATAGCACATTCATGGTTGTAACACAGGTTTGAAGTAAGCGGCTATATTACTGGAGTAGATGGTAGACTTCCCATCCTCTTCTAAAGAATTAGGCGAAATAGCCAACAGAACCGCTGGCCTAGATCATTAAGTAGATATTGAGTTTCGCGGGCTGCTGTTTTCTTTTGACAACCCAGCACAATAAACCCGCACTACATCTCTGTGGCTAGATCAAGTAGTACGTGCGATTTGTTACGGCTTGTTTGATTTGAGTTCAGTTTATCATACTGTTCTTGGATTAGTGAGGAAGTAACTGGTTTCTACAAATACTTTCAATTGATATCAGGTTTTATACGGTTTACTACGATTATCAGTTGAGTAAGGCACGAAGGAAGTTTGGTTACGAAGTTTTGGCCTTAAAATAATGGTGTTGTCACGGGCAACTTACCTTGTTTCCGTTGGTAACAATATCAACAGCCGTGCATTGCCTGTCGCGTCGCCTACAATTTCGCGCACTTTGCTGCCAATGACGTCAAAGGCCGACAAGTTGCCAATGGATACGGAGCCAGTTGCTTGTGACAACAACAGGATTTTTACGTTAAAACTTGGAGACCAAACTTTCGTCCCGCCTTACTCAACTGATAATCGTAGTATGTCAGTCATGTGGGAATGCTTCTCAGCTAAAGGCAGGTATTCATTTTGCTGTTGTATGTCCTTGATGTTTTCTGTAGGGACGGAGAGCTGGTCCTTATGGATGCTGGGTGCGAGTACCATGGGTATGCCAGCGACATTACCAGGGCGTGGCCAGTCAGTGGTAAATTCAGTGACCCGCAGAGAGAACTTTACGAACTGGTGCTGAGAGTACACAAGAAATGCTTAAAAGTGAGACACATTACTTGCTTAAAACACTTTCACTTACGGGTAGTTAGAATGTAGAAAGCTTGATCAACGTAGCATGTTCAACTTTCTTGTTCCTAGCTTTGTCAAAAGGACGTTTCGCTGGATTATCTTCATCACGCCATGTTGCTACTTTTGGGAGAGGAACTTATTAGTGAGTGAGAGAAATGTTTTAAGCATTAGGTTCTTTTGTCTTTGTCTTTGGTCAAGCTTGAGTTTAGATAGTGTCCTTTGTAATGATTGGTATAAGAGTGAAACCAAAGAAGGTGATCACGCAACCAATCACAAGGCCAATCAGAATTCGAAACATGTAACTGGTGCTGAGCGCGGGAAAGCATGTATCAGGTGCCAAAAGCGGGAAAACATGTAACCAGTGCTTAGCGCGGGAAAACATGTAACCAGTGCTTAGCGTGGGAAAACATGTAACCAGTGCTAAGCGCGGGAAAACTTCAAACCGTTGCGAAGAGCAGGAAAGCATGCATGCATCAGTTGCTAAGAGCGGGAAAAAAAGTAACCTTAGGTAAGAGATGGAGAACATGTGAACAGTACTAAGCGTGGCAAAACTTAAAACCGCTACAAACTGCGGGAGTGTATACAAGCGGATAAACGTCGTTTCAAGCAGATAGTTTGGTTTCTTACTGATTGGTTGAGAAGACAACCTCTGACTTTGCTCGTTAGACTCAGTGTCAGTGATCGAAGTATACAGTGCCGCTAATGCAAAACCAGAAAAGCTCATATGCTAATGATAAAAACCGTCATTTCAGAAGTATCTTTGTTCTTCTACTTTACAGGGATCGATTTTCTTCCAAAGAACTTGACCGAGAGTCAACTGAAAAAGGTATTCACGTACAACGTTTTCCACCTGTGGGTACATTGTCTTGCTTTCTACAGAACAACACAGATGCATAAACCGCAATTCTCTCGTTCGAGAATTGATGATGTGGAAGAAGCTGGACTGCTAGCAGTTAACAACGGGCTCCTCGGAGAGATCTTTCATACATATGAAAATCTCCAACTGAGTGTCTAGCTGGTGATTGCAGGATGGGCTCCTGGTGATTGTAATTATTGCTTTCCCCTTCTTCATTGCGCATCTGCTTGAGAGCGTATTGTTCATTTATAGGAGAATGTAGATATTGATCACTCTGCTTGTGTGTTTCAGGCTGCTGGTGAATTCTGCCCTCATAGTGTAGGTCACTATCTAGGCATGGACACGCATGACACGCACTTGGTGAGCAAAGGCCTGGGGCTACATCCTGGAATGGTGATCACGGTTGAGCCTGGGATCTACATCTCTGAGAACAACAAAAACGTACCGGAAAGGTTTGCAATTTTGTCTCTACTAAGTTCTACTGTAGTACCAATGCATTTGTGTTTTAGAGATCTTACGAATGTTTGAAGACCACGGTCATCTAGAAAGTTGCAACGTAAGCGATGTGTTTGCTCCAGATCACTTGGGCAAGATTGTTAGACGTATTAGTTTTTAAAGAATATGTTATGCTGCTTCGGCGAACAAGTACTGTCTTTCATGGCGAGTTTGCAAAGTTCAGGACGATTTGAGTGTTAGCTTGGGCCTACTCAGCTTTACTGACTCACCCAGCGGCTTTCAATTGAACTTTTATCATTCTCAAATTGGTAAATAACTGAGTTGATTACTTGTATGTTGACGAAGGTTTTTGTTTTCCTGAGCTCAAGAGCAAAGATGGGATAGCTTTTAGGCGTGGGTTTCCTTCTACTCGGAAAAATGTAATCACTTAAATCCTGAATGCAAAACTCTCTGAATGTGAAAGTTGACATTTTGATTCCTCTTAACAGATATCGAGGAATAGGCATAAGAATAGAGGATGATGTACTCATCACTGGGAATGGACCTGATGTCCTCACTGCTGAATGCCCAAAGGAGGTGGAAGATATTGAAAGACTGATGAACGGCACAGAAGCTGCGAGGCTTTAAGAACCGAGACGACTAGTCACCTCAAAGGAATATCTTGTAATAGATACGACTGGTTGTAGACCGAACAAAAACAACGACAATAAACTGAAGTAAAACACTTCCCCAAGGCACTGACCTGAGGACAATTGCTCGAAGTCAGAGTTCGAGTCAAACATGGTTTCAGTAACAAATTTAACTCTGCACTGGAGAGTTGCTTTATTGATGAGGTCGGTGTGTTTGTATAGTTTCCCTTTATATGACCTCTTTTTACGACTTAAAATAGCATAGGCAAAAGGAAACGTTTTCTATCTTCGCAGCTTCAGTGTTCCTATGCGGCAGCCCAATTTTTCTCTTTGCTTATTGTACGCACTTTTAGAAGCATCTTGTTTCAAAGTTGAATTGTCCTGGACAGTGCGTCATTTTCAAACGTTTTTACAAAGCTCTTAGGGATTA